ATATATATATTCCACTTGGAAATTAGCTAATTAGGCGAGCTGAAGCAGCAAGCATGAAGGAAACTCCTCGTTCGTCGTTTAGCCTGCCAATCGATAAAAAGCGAGAGGCGGTGAAACGCAAGGAAACAGGCCGGGCTCATTCTCATCGTTGTCGCGGCGCGGATATTGGCCTTTGAGAAGCAACAAAAGAAGGAGAAGGAGAGGTTGATTCGACGGCGCGCGCGTTGATTCGATAGGAGAGCCGTTCGTGCGCGAACACGATCCTTAAACGCGGGGGAAAGCCCCGTAACTCGTGTCGTTTATCGCGAAACGATTCGCTTTGCCGAGGCAAAGCCGGGGGTTGCTGAAATGATATTTGTCCAATCCGGAGAAGCAATATCGACCTCGCTAGCTCCGGTAATTCCGCAGGGGTATGTAAATAATTGCATTATACGATTCGGGCTACACCACCCCAACACGGATACACCGCGGGAGATTGTTGTTCGATTATATACTCGCGATTCTCCTCGTGCTCGTTCAAAGTGATTGCGATTTCTTCGTGGCTCTTTCTCTCTCTCTCTCTCTCTCTCTCTCTCTCTCTTTGTTCTTTTCTCCTTTCTTCCATTTTGTTCCGTGAGATGGAGATTCTTCACGCAGCTGGGATAGTCACCGAAATTTAATTTTTCCCTTCAGTACATATTACAGTTAACTAGATTACATCGATCCTATTGTCATTTTCGTTTTCTATGCTTCTCGACGTCCGAACGAAACTCTCGTTTCTTCTTTCTTTGTTGAGACATTTCTTTGGATTCTCTTTCAATCTTTTTTTTTTTTTTTTTTCTATACGAAGAAAATAGGTTAACAGAGATCTGTTTTATCCTTTCAATCATTCGTTTCGTCGATTGTCCAAAAAGCATATTTCGTTCCTTGAATCTCCAACTTTGTTCCAACAGCGAAAATAATAAATAACGGGGTTACGTTGGAAAATTGGCCACGTTAGTGAAAGGTCGAAGCAAGTGGCTTATATATGCATCTAAGGCGTTTAAAATATCCCGATCCTAGTGATAATAGCGGAACGGTGTATGACGTCTGCACGAAACTTTCGTGTACAGAATATTTGCGAATTTGCCAAAGAGGTTAAAGGTCATTAAAAGGTGTAAGAGAGACGATCTAGCTCCTGGCCACGTGATCGAACTGCGAGAGAAGGGGAAACGTAGTAGAGGAGGAGCACGCGATAAGTGAAAGCAGACAGTGCATAGTCAGACGCGTTTACCGTCTTTACGTGT